GGTCAGCCCACTGGGTCACTTATAGCAGCAGTGGTGGGAGAAGCAGAATAAGCTGATGTTCCAGATCTCACTGAGCTCTTTTCCCCAGAGCTTTGAGAAGAGCTACCAGCACAGGCTGAGGAGTCAGGGAGTGATAAACAAGTAGTTTGGGGCATGGGGGTGACAGGGTGAAGTGGTGCATTATATTAAGGAGTGTGTAGATTCTCGATTCTGGACTTGGATAAGGGGTTCACACTAGAGAGGTGCAGATCAATTCTGCATGTTAACAGGATCACTCTGAGGAAGAGATTAGAGCTGGGAGATTGGAGGCAGGGACTCAACAGGAGGCGTGGGGATGATTCAGAGCAGGATGATGAGGACGTGAATATTTCAAAGAAATACTGACGTGGCAGAATTCTGAATTGGTAACCAATCCATGTGAGGAGTGAGAGAGAGGAAAAGTCGAAAATCTCTCTTAGGTTTCTAATTTGAGTGTTGGAGAGGAAGGTGGTGCCATTTAAAAAAAAAATAGGAGCAGGTTTAGAGAAAAGGGTTAAAGATAGTGACTTAGTCCTAGATACAGTGAGCATAGAGTAGAGGCTGAGAAATTTCAATGAACTGGACGGGACTCAGAGGGTCCACTGGGTCTTTGTTTTCTGTGATGAGCCAGCCTTAGGACAGCATGCATCCTTGAAAGTATTTGTAGAAACAACACATCTGTGGATCATGCTACAACAATTCCGGCAGAATGTGAAGTTTCCACTGTCCTTTTAGCCAATTATTTATGAAGATTTGAATACCTACTGAGTGCCAGGCCTGTGCTGGGATGTAGGGGTTAACAGACATATTCTTTATCCTCTAAAAGCTCCTGGTGTCCAAGTGTCTCTGAGGAAGTAAACAAAAGCAGATTAGAATGGGGGTGGGGGTATGCAAGTCACAGAAAAAAAAAAGAGCCCACCCATATGCTAGGTCATAGGCAGCCATCCTGTCCAGGGGCACAAGGTCAGCTGGTCTCACAATTTCGCGCTGCCCTCATCTGATGCAAGAAATCACTCATAAGAGGAAGGGGAGAAAGTAACTAAAAATAGAGCGGTTTCTGATTTAAGTAATTGCAACACTCTCTGGGTCATTTTAAGGAACAAGTCTCTGCGTTCTTGCAGGAAGAACTTGGAAATCAACACCCATAGATAATTCGAGTCATAGAATATTTCAGGCCTGAACCAGGCTTCTAGAAATCCTTCAGAGGTTGCCTCTTCCTAAACGGAAAACAGAACTTACTTTTCCTTCTCCCTTCTTTCTTCTCCCCCCACCCCAATTTTCTCACTCCTATTTTCTTCTCTCTCTCTCTAGAATGCAGGTGCTAACAGATTATTTGATTTGATCCCTTTCCTCCCCAGTTGATGGTGCAATATCACCAAAGGCACAGGTGCAAAGTCTCAACGCTTTTAAAGACTGCGTATCTCTTCCAAGAGCCCTTATTAGAAGGGGGTGAGACTCCCCAATTATCCAACTATCAGTCTCTCAAAGGTTGCTCTGTCCATGAAGCCTCCTCCCAAATGGACATGACCCTCCTCCCTTGAAGCTCACATGTGTAACCTTTACCTCTTTTCTACTTTTTACAATGACCTGCATAGACAGTGATGGAGTTTGGATGTGCTGTCCCCTCCAAAGCTCATGTGGAAATGTGATCTCCAATGTGGCAGTGTTGGAAACTGATTGAGTCATGGGGGCG